CCTCGGACTAAGGTGCTCCATGGCAGTCGTGGTTGGCCGCGTGTACAAGTCGGGCAAGGAGGGGTTTCGTGGCTTGCGGTGGTTGAATTGCGTGACAGAAAAGGAAGCCAAGATAATGACACTTTTGCCTGCCAGCGCAACCACTCGTTCTGACCAGTTATTCACAAATGTGACGTGTTTCTTCAACAATCCAGAGCAAACAGAAACGTAAAGTGGGAATCTATGTGCGTTTGTTGGTGTTCGTTCAGTCGGACTGCCAGACTTCAGACAGGCGTGATGCCTGCGCCTTGCGAGCCAGACCTGCCATCGTGAAGGCTTCAGCCCCTCTCCATCGCCATCGCTGCAGTAAGGTTGGTGGAAGAACAGGGCAGAGCGGGCTCTGAAGATAGCTACCTCACCTTTACGGTGGGTGCCGGACGACTCCACTTGAGGCGCATGCTTGGCGATCATCCTGTTCAAGGTGAGGGATGTGGTTACAGTGGCCCTGGAGCTGTACCCGCCCTCGTCGCTGGTGCTAGTTCTGAGGCGGATGAATCGCGCCAAAACTTGATGATCGATGGACTGGAAGCCCATTCAACTCATGCTGTATGATCCCACGAACTCTGCATTGCTGACTACCCACCCCAGGGATGGAACCGCCTCAAGACCGCGTCACGGGTCAGGCCAGCTGGCGATATGCGTGTACATAAGCTGAATATATTGGGCTCGCCTCGTTCCATTCGCTTCAGGGCCAGTCCTGCAGGAGGGCCAATTGACGAGGCACGCAAGGCGCACACAGTCCCTCACCCCTGGGACGTGCCTCGTTGATTGATGCTTGCACACGGATGTGTAGAGCAACAAACAGCAAAGAAGCCAAAGTAAGCCGGCGCTGCCGTCGGCTCAGCAGCCGGACGGGCGTTTCTGGTGGTGGCGCCGATACCACAGGTATCAGCCTTTGCCAACAACTGGTCTGTTGGCCCGTATGGCACACAGCTGGTTGCTCATTTCGTCCCTATTCGACGTGGAAGCTCTGAAAGGGACCATTGGCATATCTCGGCTCTCCAAGGGTACCTGATCATTATTCAGGTAGGCTCAGTCGCCTCAGATGCGCAGTCGACTCAGCCCAATTGATGAGATGATCAGGTCAACCCTGCACCGACATGTAGCACTTTGGAGGGCTGGAGTACGATTTGGAGGAGCGTCTGTCTCATTCGATTGATGCGCCAACAGCATGCGGGCGCGGATCCGCGCTCCGCGGGTACACAGATGGATAAAATCCAGGAAAAAGGAGAAGCCGAATGGCGGCAAAGTACATATGTCACGCTCGCGATTCGTCTGTGTACATGTACTTGTACCCGTGCCTGAAGTGATTGCCTCTGCTCGCCTTGTTTTCCTCCTTTTTTTTAGACCTCATTTTTGTTCTTGCAGCTTGGGGGACCGATCTCCATACTTCTGTCACAATGATGCGCTGTTTTCGGCTTGTCCTCCTGTTTATGAGCACAGCCATCACATCTCACCAACAGACATAAACCAGCACAAAAGAAAGGGCCAACCAGACTAAATGCTCCTGTTCGGCATCGCATCGGGGTTTTGTCTTTTCATGACTCTTTATCTGCGAAGTCTAGCCAGGACCGTAGGGCAGGTACAGTACCTGAGCCCACCGCCAAGCTGCTGTACCTGATGTGCACCCCCTCCCCACTCCGCGACAGAGACCCCCCCTTCCACCCCACCCTTCGCACCTGCCACTACCCACCCCTGTCTGCTTCAGTTCGGGCATTGCTCCTCCCTTGTCCCTCACTGTATGTCACTCGCCGGGAACGAGCGACCCTGAACTTTTGATTGATGCCCTTACGCTAGGCTCGACACCTTTCTCCACCACGTCAGTGGCAGGAGGGGGGGTGAGGGTGTGGGCTTTGGAACTATGAAGCCGACAATCTTGTCACGGTACAGAACAGCGGTATTCCCGCCTGGCCTCCCCTGCCTGGCTCCTGCTCTGACGCTTGCCCTGGGCCGGACGAACTCCCAAGATCCAGAGCATTAAATACACCACGCCCTCCTTCTGCTGCCCACCCAGCGGGCGTTGGTTTCCCTCTCTTACCTAACGATCCCCTACCAT